CTCAAGTCCTTGCCATTAGGGTCGTATTACCAGTGCTTGAAATCATACTCAAGTCTACTCAAATCCTGACTTGAGCATTGAGTAGAGTTCTAGAATACGACCCTGAGATGCCTATGACTGACGATGTCTATGATTAAAAACGTATATTAGCTTACGTATTCTGCGTGTTAGGTTTTCAATGTGGGGTACAAAATTTAGATGTTCATCTAAAATCACACCCAGGTACCTGACAGTAGTAGCTGTTTCTAATTTAGGACAGTTGCTAGGAAGGTTACTATTTACAGCGTGGTTATGGGCGACTAAACTGACCTGTAATGGTTCTAATGCTTTAGGTTGATTAATACTGAATTTCAAAAACTTCGTTTTAGTAACATTCAGCGACAGTAAATTATCTGTGAGCCAACGGTTATCGAGTTAAAGCCAATTTGTGCAGCTTGAAATTCTTGCTCCCAAGTGTGACCCGTAAAAATGAGAGCCGTGTCATCAGCAAATGCCACCAATCTTCCATTAGTTAAGTTAATGGAATACGTATCATTGATATAGGCTAAAAACAAAGTCGGACCCAAAATGCTACCCCGTGGAACGCCTTGCTCTACAGGAAGCTCTTGACTCAAAAATTCGCCAATTTTGACACATTGAGTACGACTAGAAAGGTAGCTCTGAAATAATTCCAGCGGTTTTCCCCTAATTCCAAGCTTTTCAAGTTTGGAACATAATCGGACTGTGAAAACTGTGTCAAACGCCTAGCTAGATCAATAAATATCGCGACGCATTTTTTCATGATTGTCTAGAGCTTTAACAACATGATTATGAGTAAGATCGTAAACTGCGTCATTGGTAGACCTGACGTTTCGAAAACCGAATTGTCATCAGACAGGAGATTCAAGATAATTTTTAATTGTTTTCTCTAACATTTTAGACAAGGTGGGCAAAATCGATATAGGACGATAATTGTTGATACGGTCTCTTTCCCCGAACTTATGTGTTGGATGGACTACAGCTTTTTTTAAATACATTGGGAAACACACCGGTAACTGCCACGTTATCTATTATTATTTATCAAACAGTAACGTGAGCTTTACTACGTTCCGGTTTTGAAGATTAAAGGTGCTGGTGAAATTACAGACACATGGAGTTTGTTAATTTATTTCTCAGGCTGAAGGACGCGGTGGCAGTGCTCCTCAGGTCTTTGCGATTTAAAGCTCTGAGTGGCACTCCAACTGTTATGGACAGGAGGAGGAAAATTTACCACCAGGCGCACGATTTGTTTGTCCCGTCACTTCGTAACATAAAAAAAGTAGGTACAAGGTAAGAAGCACAAGGGAAAATCGCGGCACCTGCGCTGGCTTGTTACTGAGTTTTCCATTTTCGGTGTATGTTGTTGTTGATAATTCGCTGCTTTTTTGTTTTTTTTGCTACACGTTGTATCACAGGTACAAACAAACCATTTACTTAAAAATATTATCTAGGACAATATAGCTTTTCAACTACACACCAACCAACTCTATCGTTAGAAGAAACCGTCGTGGTTTTGATACCGGTGCCAAGGAAAGTCTATCGAAAATGCAAGAACAAGACCGAGACTGCAAGAAAATGCTAGAACAAGAACAAGACCAAGATTAGACCGATTTTGGGCAACACTAGTCTGGTGTATTTATAGAGATAGGCTTACCGATATATGACGTTTAAATATATGTTAATTCTTTACCAGGTACGTCTTCCAGATGCGATTGCCGTGGATAGCTGAGAAATTGCTGCAAATGAACAATCTTGAAGCTTTTGACGCATGTTTTCTTGTTCGTGGAAAGAACACTATCACTAAGAACGACGTTGAGTGTTACAAGTATTGGTTTGGAAAACAACGTGAGTTAAAAATGTTTTGCTATTTTATTATCTCTTGACGCTGATGTCTACCGGACCGCATTAAAGTATGCCAATTGCAGTAAGGGCTATAAGGGCTCTCCTGGTGGCAAGACGTCCTATATTTTGGGTCTTCCAGCAATCCACAACACAGATACAAAAAATATAATATACAAAATTTGTAGTCATAATAATTAATAAACAAAATAAAAATACAATAAAAAAAACAACACTAAATAAGACAAATCTGACAAAATTTTGTACTGTCATTTGTGCGGTTGTGACGTGCGCAAAAGGACTTCATTCAGCATAAGCCAGTGCCATAATTCAACAAGTCACAAGTCAGCAACATTGCTGTAAAGTTGGGCGTTGCCCTTGACTTTAAGGATGTTGAATATGCGGTACGTGCGGGTCGACGATCGAAGGAAGACAACAACACATCGAGTCGTCCTCGCTCTATCATCGTGCGCTTTACAAGACGTGCGCCGCGAGACGAGATGCTGCGCGCAGCAAGAACCCGTCGGAATCTAACCACTGATCAAATGGACTTACCTGGCACGCCTACTACTATGTATATAAATGAAAACTTAATAAAATATGATCGCCAGCTCTACGGGAAGGCACGGAGCCTGGGTCGTGAGCGTGAATTCAAATACGTGTGGCGTAAGAATGGCCGAATCTTTGTGCGAAAGACTGATGGAGGCACTGCATATCTCATTCAGTCAGAGAATGACTTATTTCGTCTCTGAAATGATCTCAATTTTATTTATTTATTTTGATTTCATTTTAGATAACCTTTTCATAGCTTTTTTATACATTCATATTGTTATTATTTCATTATCAGTTGTGATTTTGGAAAAATTTGAACGGTTAGTTGATGTCTTTGTTGAGTATATCATACGAGATGCAACTGTAAAGATATACAACTGTCAAATTCGGCAGGAAGATTCTGCAAGTCTCTGTAATATAATGATTAATCTTTGTTTTCATTATTTGTCATCTTTCGCGTGTATTTTTTATATTTTAGCTTTATTACATAGAACACACCCTTATTTACTGTTTTCATACTTATATATTACTTTACAATCAACATTGAACTCAATTCACTGTTTAATGTTTCCTCTTTATGTTTTGATTTGTCGAAATGGTGTTACATAAAGAAAACTTGTTTACAATTAGCCTGTATAATGCCCAATCACTCAACACATGTGGTGACGATTTTGTATTGGCGGTTGAGGGTCGCAGCCCTGACATTGTGGCCATAAATGAATCGTGGTTACGGGAGGGTTGTGATGCATTAGCTCCTATTATTCCATTATACAAGTTTAAAATGCGTCCACGCCCGTGTGAAGTTAAAAAAGGATGGGGTGGGGGTGTAGCCTTTTATATACACGAAAATGTTAAAGCGACAGTCTTGAAGCATCCCACTTCCTGTGTAGAACAATTTTGGCTCCGTGTAAATGTAAATGGCTTTCGCTTGGCAGTGGGTACAGCATACCGCCCTCAATGGCAGGCTGTTGACTTATTCCTTGATGCTATGGCGGAATCTGTAACTCATTTTACCAATTTCGATAAAATTGTATTGTTAGGGGATTTTAATATTAATCTCTTAGATAGTGGTAGTCTGAGTTATCGTAAATTTCAATCTTTTACTCAAAGTTATGGTTTGTCACAGGTGGTTGATGGACCAACACATTATACTAATACTTCTGGAGCATTGATCGATGTGGTATGCACAGACTGTGTGGTTAGAAAGGTAGATTTGGACAATGTTTCAGGACTCATAGGTCATTGCTTGGTTAATGTTACTCTTAACATAAAGAAAGATAAATTCAAACCAAAATTTGTTACTTATAGGCCTATAAAAGATATTAATATGAATAATTTTAATGCAGATTTAATTAGTTATGGCTTGCTTAATAATAATTCTTTATGTACTGTTGATGATATGGTAGATTCATTTAATAGCAAAATTATACAATTATTCGATTGCCATGCGCCTGAAAAAACAGTCCTTTTTAAACATAAATCACTGCCGTGGGTAACTCCTAATACTAAATTTATTATTGATCTGTGCAATAGAGCTCTCTGCCGATACCGTCGAAGCCGACTCGATACTCATAAAGAATATTACAAGAGCCTAAAAAGACAAATGAATATTGCCATGCTTTCTGAAAAGCGCGCATATTTTAATCAACGCATAAACAGCTGCTGTAATGATTCTAAGAGGCTCTGGAAAAATTTAAAGAATGATGTTCTCCCTTACAATAAACGATCAGATACCCTACCGCTTCACATCTCTAACCCTGAAGAGATAAACAAACATTTTCTGACCCTTCCATGCACAGACACAGTTCCACTTTCTGAATTGGCATTTTTTAATCAAAATAAATATAGTACTAATATTTTTACTTTGCGAACAGTCAGTGAGATGGAGGTGGGTAGAGCCATCCTTTCTATAAAATCGGGAGCGTCAGGGGAAGATAATATAAATTCAGATATGATATTATTAACACTGCCTCAAACTCTACCACTCATAACGAATATTATTAATAAGTCTTTTTCTTCCTCGACATTTCCGCTTTGCTGGAAGACTGCTTTGGTTTCACCAATTCCCAAAGTTTCAAATCCTACCAACTATAAAGACCTTAGACCAATCAGTTTGCTGCCGTATCTGTCGAAGGTGCTAGAAAGGATAGTATTTTGGCAATTAACGAAGTTTCTGGAAATAAATAAGATTCTTCCTGAAGTACAGTCCGGCTTCAGAAAGGGTCTCAGTACTTCGACAGCGCTCTCAGAAGTGGTGGACAATATACTTGATGCTCAGGATAACGGTATGGCCACTATACTTGCTCTACTCGACTTTTCACGAGCGTTTGACTCTATCAGTATCCCGTTACTACTTGCAAAACTTACATATTATGGTTTTGACACAGCCACAGTAAATTGGTTCGCTAGTTATTTGACTGATAGAGCTCAAATTGTCAAAGTTCATGAGTTGAGCGGCCGTATAACTAAATCTTCTGTAAGAGGAGTGCATAGAGGCGTACCACAGGGATCGATATTAGGACCAATCCTATTTGTATTGTACTCTGCGGATATCTTAAAAAATGTAAATTATTGTAGTTGCCATCTTTATGCGGACGATGTCCAAATTTATATTCATACCAGTCCACATGACTTGGAGCTGTCCCTTTCTAGGATCAACACTGATCTTGATAATATTGCCCGATGGTCAAGTCGTAATGCTTTGATTCTGAATCCATCAAAATCTAAGTTTATGGTTCTGGGTTCAAAAAAACAGGTCGTAAACATCCTTTCACAAGCTCCTCGGGTTAGCATTCTTGGAACATCGGTAGAGTTGGTTAACCAGGCCAAAAATTTGGGTGTACCTATGGACAGTGCGTTGCGATTCGTTAGCTATGTAGAGACTACTGCCAGATCATGCCTCTTTCGACTGAAGGTGCTCTATAAGATTCGTCATTTGCTCAGTGAAGACATTAGATTAAAGGTATGTGAATCCCTTGTCTTATCAAAACTAAATTATGCGGATGTTGTATTTGGTCCCTGTCTTCTCTCCACTTCAAAAAAAAACTATACAGCGTGTACAAAACGCCTGCATACGATTTTGTTGTAAAGTACCATTCAGAAGTCACATAACACCTGTGCTAAACCTACGCAATATCTTGAACATGGAATCCAGAAGGACTTTGCACTTTTCTGCACTGATGCACTCCATTGTCCGGTATAAAAGTCCACCATATTTGTATGCCAAATTAAAATGGGCTACTTATGCTTATAATTCACGCAGGGTAGATAGTTTTTTGTTGGTGACACCATTCCACAAGACAAGAGCTTTTGAGGGTAGCTTCCGGTATCAGGCATCTAAATGCTGGAACAATTTGCCTCCTCCACTTAGACAACCAATCTCTAAATCGGCATTCAAAAAACAACTGAAAATTATGTTATTGGAAAAGCAGCGTATGCTCTGATGTCGGAAGTTTCTTAGTCTAGCCAGCTTGTTATATTTATGTGCACTAACATACCAATGTAATGCTTAAAGTTGTATATTTCTATTTACATGATTACGCTGTTGTAGGTCCGTGTTTCTTTAGTAGTAAATACTTATTGACAGATTTAAAATATTAATTGTTATATAATACTTAGGTTTAAGGTTTTCGTATTGAAAATAATTAAGAATATATATGTCACAACAGAGGATACACACAACATAATAATATGTACCGCTCTCTCAACATCCAGTCGATGATGCAACAGGAACGACTGAAAATCAGCGTCTCTCTCGCCAGAGATAGACTTTTTGCTGAGTCGTCTCCTTTTCCTCTTTTGTGTCACTTTGCATTCTTATTTATAGATTATTTAATAAATAGCTATCAATTTAATGTTATGTTTATAATTTAGGGATGTAAAGTGACTTAAATGTGCGAATAAACGTTTTTCTTTCTTTCTTTCTTTCTTTCTTTAATTGACTGCGCTGGTTTTCAATGAGCCCTGAGCCGAGATGAGTGTCATTCACACCTAAACAATTTATTTCAGTAGCCTTGATAGTTTAATGGTTAGACAAGAGCCTAGCTCCTAAATAAGAAGAGAGAGAGAGAGATAGCCTAATGGTTTTACCTACCTATCGCCTCTCCAACAGAGACCGTAGGTTTGAATCCGGGCTCGTGTGCGGGTTTAATTTGAAATTTACCAGGAGCTTTTCGGTGAAGGAATACATTTTCATCACAATGCACCTACACGTCGAAGAAGGTTCACAACCCTCGGAAAACTTGTGAAGTCCCCAACCCGCCGCCGTGGTTGACTAGGGCCTAAACCCTCGTCTGAGAGTAGTGATGAAATTACAGGCACATAGGACTTTTCAACTTATGTCTCAGGTTTTTCTGATCTAAAGCTTTGAATGGCACTGCAACTGTCATGGACAGGGGTGTCGTTTACCATCAAGCGTACGACTTGTTCGTCTCATCACTTATTATCATAAAAAGGGACTTGTGCACAGCAGTGAAACGTATATATGAGTTAACGATGATGATGAAATTATATTTTACAGATACCCTCACGCCCCCTGTTAACTACTACCGAGCGAATTTCGAATACGTTATACCAGAGAAGAAATTCTGTGAATTGAATATTCCTTTCCTCGCCGCAATCCCTGACAAAGATCCGTATTTGAACACGTCTCTGCTTGATGGAATGAAGAAGGAATACAAGTATATAGAAACAACTGTTATTAAGGAATGTGGTCATTGTGCACAGCAGGAAGAGCCCGAAATGATTAATAAGCTCATTAGAGATTTTCTTACTAAACACAATCTTTGAAACATTCAATATTAAGGTAAAAAGTTGCAAACTACTTTTGGATTCTGAAATTATGACGCTAAAACTGACATGTACGTGAGTTACATATTCGTGTCCGTGTTGTTAGTGAATTAGATCTCTATAATAATCAATCTCTGTAACAAAGATTGAACACTAAGAAAAATTGCTTTCGATCCACCTAGATTCGAAGCAGCGCCTTCAGCACACTGTGCCTGACGCTCACACAACTGAGTTATGGAACGAACCAGCATGCCTGACGGATTTTTTATGTTCTTGTTGCAGATCTTTGTTTTTTTTTATTTTTAATGACATCTGACAATCTGTGAGAAATCTATGAAAGTTTTTCAGTACTATAATAGTAGAGTAGAGTAATTTCACAAAAGATAATTGAATATCATGGTTTCTTTCTTGGTCTCCAAATGACGGGACGAACAAGTCCCACCTGGTGGCAAGTGACATGTCTGTCGATAACAGTTGCAGTAACACTCAGTGCTTTAAATAGCAACGATCTGAGGGGCATTGCCACTGCGCCCGTCACCCTGAGACATAAGTTGATAAGTCCCATGTGCCTATAATTTCACCAAAATGTAAAGACACCGTGATATTCAATATAGTTCCCATAGGTCTGCAAAATTTTCTTCTCTTTTAAGTGTTGTAGCTCCAATCGATGATTTCACCAACGTTAAGCACACGTTTATTTAGGAAATGAAACAATTTTTCCGGATTTAAATCGCGTATATTTGTTTTTTCAAACAAACGAACATTTCGGGCCCTTTACAGGTCCCGTGGTCACGGTTGATTGACCGAAACGTTTATTTGTTTGAAAAAACAAATATACGCTATTTAAGTCCGGAAAAACAGTTACATTTTCTATGTAAGTTATAGTTTCCTATGTAGTTATATTATCCTAACTCCACACGTTTGTTATTTAGAATTTGACCGGTTAGGGTCGATGGCAACTTTCACTGAGAAAAGAATCTACAACAAAGCAGACTATTACTGAAACTGTTGTTATATTTTAATAAATTTACACAGGACGTACACAAAGGGGAAGTGGTCTAACGTTAGCAGAATTTGGTTACCTAACATGATGGAGGATTTTAGGGGAAAGATATAATACAGAGACGCTACGGTTGCAGACAGACCATAGGTAGGTACTCACACAGAAAATGGTATTTTCTGCAATTTCGGAAAAACCAAAGCCTAATTTGTCTAATTAGTCATCGTGTACTTTATTGTAAATTTACTTCAAATACAATATTGACTGGTTTTGCTAGTTTAATTTTTAGGTGTATTTTTTAATTATAAAAGGGAACGTTTTTGTATGTATTTACATTAAGTAAATTGTATTCATTACATAATTACGCGTGTTCTATAGTTTTATTAGCCAATGGCCATGTATTTCTTGTTTGGTAGTATTAAGATGTCGTGTATAAGTACTATCCATGTATGTACTATCAATCCCCTCATTATAAACTTTATTAAAATATTGTGTTCTGACAATTGGCTATGTTTTATATTAAAGAATTACGAAGTTCAACACTTTTTTATTTTCTGTATTGCTGAAACGTATGTACAGGATCAACAGCACGTCAAACAAAACATTACAGATTTATATTCAGATGTAGGCGCCTTGTCGTCGAGTTGCGGACACCAGCCCGTTACACCAAGTACCAAGTATATTCAGATGTATGCCGCATAGTGATAATGGTTCAAATATTCAAGGTACTCTTTGGTTCAAATTATAAAGAGTCAAGCTTGGTGTGCACCATAGATGATTATACTATGTGTACCACAGATGATACACTATACCCTTTATTTCTCTCTATTACAATTTCAATGCGGCCGAGACGCTACACTTTAGACGAGCTTTATACTTTATAGAAGTATTTGACATTATAATTTACAGCTCATCAGTTCGATAATACAATTAAAAGTCTAACTTAATCGGTTACATTTAAGGTTAATGTTCAGTTAAGTATGAATTATAATTATATTTCGAAAACACATAAAAATACAAATCAGAATATCTGAAACCATTGTTTTAGTATAAACTTAATGTCTGAGGTGATCTTTTGCAGGATTTAAAATCTTTCTACTTTTGTAAAACTCGAATGACGTCGACTCTGGAACTTTACAAAAATATTATTTATTTTATTACTGCGGCTACAGCTAAAACAGTAGATTTCATGAAAGCACGTGCCAAATTTAGTAGGTCAATGGCCAAATTGGACTAATCCTAAAGTTTAATCAGAGTGACGTCTACACTACTTCACACAGAGATTGCTCAACAAGCAACGTAAGTTTGGTGTTAACCTGCGCGAGCGATACATCCGTTCACACCGATATCGTCTTAATGGCGGGAATGGGTAGAGCGCAGCGTACCTTTATTTTGTATACACCACAATCAGTGTGTTGCGTTGTTTCTACTTCCATCTTAAACATTATATTACGTGTCTATATGTATAACGTAAGCTATTTTGCTCCTTTTATGAAGTAGGTAAACATTTCGAGAAAACCTAAAGGGTATACGAAGTCCTGAAAGCCAGGTAGATATGCTACAAATTATTATATAGGAGCTTTAGAACATCACAGCGTTTTTCACAACTCAATGTGTTTATAATTTTAGGACTCATTTTATTGCGACTAAATAACAAGTTGCTAGAGTTATAACACTATGCCAACATGAAAACATGATTCAAAACGCTCGTACTCAAGGTCATGTTGTATAATCCTTACGAATTTGAACGTTAACATTACCAAATAAACTCACCTGTTTTCTCTTTCTTACTTGTTGTTATAG